AAAAGGAATGAGATATAAACCAAATGTTTTGGACCACTAAAGATTCTTTAGTTTATTTGTGTTGGAAGTGAAACGGCTACTTTAACGTTAGACTTGAAGGCACGAGCTTTTAAGAATTAATTCGGAAATATATTTTCTTGGAATATAAAGGTTTTATTAGACTTTGTATTTTCCTTGTAGGAACAAACTAAGAACTAACGTTTCCTTCAAACAATAAATAAAAACAAACATAGACGGTTTCAATCGACCATTTCGTCTCCTCCCACATTTGAACCAATATCATAAAACCCAAGCTTTATATGCAATTTGCAATTGACATACTACATCCAAAAATGTGATATTTTAGCATATGAAAAAATTAGTTACGCATGTGCGAATTGAAATTTGAAAGTTGGTATAAGTCTAACTAAGAAGTTGTTACTCGTACGTGGTTTGGTTGAAGATACGGAGAAAGTATTATTTTGACCAATAAAAAACAAGGTACAAAAGATTCCCTTATTTTAATTTGTTTTTACGTTAGGTTTCAAAACATTATAAAAACCTATGACCAGTCTGCAGAACATACAACATTCACTTCCCCCATAATTTCCCCTTTAATTATTTCTCTATTTTCATCATGTCCGGAAATCGAGGAAAATCTAGAAAAGGAAACACAAGTGCAAGTTCTTCTCAACTTGCACCAAGACCGGAGCGGATTCCTGAACCCTTGAGGAATTCTGTCGATTCACTCATCACCTCTTTCGACTCTTCTCAGGGATGGAAAGACATGGGTATTCCCAACATGGTGCCTTCGATAGGTGATGGTTTTATTCAATGCTTGGGGAATTACCTCACTGTTCCTGAAACAGAAACGTTCATGTACCAATTCATGAAAGAAAGATGTCATACACAACGGTCACTCTGTCGAAATCAATGGTCTGCGAGGCCTACTTGAAGCTATTAAGGACACTCCAACCGGCTGGTACCGATTTGGCCTTCCTTAAAGCGGCATCGGACGAGAAGAAGCTGGAGGACGAGAATACATCGACCAGCTCTGTTGGTGAAGCGAAAAAGTAACTATGATCGAGGAGAATTTCGCTTTTACTATGGTTTAATTTATCTGCACGTGTGTGTTTATCTTGTTTTCTATCTTATGTTTAAGTAATGGTTATGATCTTATGCATGAACTCTTTATGGTTATGATCTTATGTATGAACTCTTTACGGTTATAATCTTATGTATGAACTCTTAATGGTAATGATCTTATGTATGAACTCTTTACGGTTATAATCTTATGTATGAACTCTTTATGGTTGTGATCTTATGTATGATCAATATAATGTTAAATTAAATGAAAGAGTACT